GGGCCTGGGGCCCCCCCCCCCCGGGCCCCGCCGAAGGAGGGGGGGGGGGGCACCCGCGGCCCCCCCCCCCGTTCGCGGGGTGGGGGGGGCCCCCCCCCCCCCCCCCGCACAGGCTGGCAGGAAAGCTCCATCGGACTGGCACCAGTCGGGAGATCAGCGGTTGAAAACCACTGCTCTTGCGTGGCTCCTTTTGGGCTGTTGGTTTGGCACCAGGGAGGCATTGGCTGGAGCTGCTGCTACCCCACTTCCCCAGCTTCCTCCGCTCGCCAACCCAGAGGCCCAGCTGTGATGGGGGGCTCCTGGCAAGCTGACGGAGGAAAAATAGCCGTGGTGGAGCAAGGAAGGGCTGAGTCTTTGGGCTGGAGTTAGACCTGCATTAGACCAGCAAGCTTGTGGCTGCTGCTTCCTCACTGGCTGCCTAGTGGCCTTTAAGCTGTTTTTATGACAACTATATCGCCTCGAAATGTGATTGCGAGCTGACCTGGGAGAACCGTGTGTTCAGCTTTACAAGCTAAGACAGGCCACAATCTGTCAGCAAGTTCTCCTGTACAAACTCCATTGAACTGAATGAAAGCCGTGCACAAGCGGAACAGTTGCCTGGGCTGGTTTGCCCTCTTCCTCTGGGTCCTTTTATCTTCTGTATTCTGTAACTTCTGGAGGGCAGGTCCCTGGATGCCTTCTTTTTATTGAGCTAAGCTAAGCTGCTCTAGGAGCTTGTTTGGAAGAGGAGCAACCTTAAGTAACAGCAAGCTAAGGAATGAATGCCCATGTGCAGGATTTGCCAGTGGGCGAGTCAGGTATGCCTGTCCCCATCCCTTCATGGCATCCACAGGTGTACAACTTTGCAAGTACTTTGGACTGCAGCAGGTGTCAGAAGGGTCCAGATAAAATTGACACTTCTCCCAGAGGCCTCAAAACTCCAGCCATCCAGGAACCCTGGTTCTTAGCCATCCACCCTTTTGCTGGCGGACCCAAACAGTCTTCCAGTTACCTGGAACATCCTCAGAAAAAGTTTGTGCAGGTGGGGGGTCGTTCTAGGAACAGGCTCAATGGTTCTTGCCATAGCTCCTAAAACAACTTAGCAAGCAAGCACAAACTATTGGAGCACAGCTATGAAACTACAGAGTCCATTACTTTCCTCTCCCCCCCTTTTTGCTGGGGGGCACTGCCCAGGGCTTGGAGGCTGCCTCTGGTCCACATCTTTTGCATTCCTGCAAGGCACCCCCAGGCAGATTAATATCCATTCTCCTAGAAGCCCTGCTTTAGCCAGATGTAGACAAAGCAGCTCAGTCTCAAAAGCGCTCAGACCTTTATTAAAATTTCTCATAGTCAAGATCGCTGAAAAAAATCAAGGATTAACAGGGATCCAAAGTGGCGTGTCTTTTCTGGAGAGTCCAGCCTGGCTGAGATGTCACTGTGAGCCAAGGGATAAATGCCTCCATCAGGAAACCGGTTGGGGACCATTCATTTCCAGTATCAACCAAGAGGTAGGAATGGGCCCAGTTGGGTATGGAGTCTCCCTCGTAGTTCTCCGTCCCTTGAACCGAGTGCAGGTACTGCTGAAACACTTTGCTGAGCAAGATCAAATGAAGCAAGCAGAAGCAAAGAATCTGCTACACGAACTGCTCTGAAGGCTTGCGTGGGATGTTCATACTTCCAGGACCAAACTGCAGGGGCAGCAGTGGTGGCACCTGCGTTGGCAGATAAACGAGGCAGGGGGGCTCAGCCTATAAGGCACTCTATTAGCAGCAAGCTGTGGGGTGGAGAAAGCCAGCCTGATGTGCAGGTGAGGCACTGACCCAGCACAACTTGGGTCTGCTTGTTGCGAGTGCAACTGAGGTCACCTTCTGGGAGTTGCAGTGAGCACCCGCCAGCCAGAGGGAGACTGTCCGGCAGCACCTGGCTGGCTCCCACATAGAACAGGTGGGCTGGCTTGAGTGGTGGGCCGTCGGTTCTGCAGGCCAGGGCTGCAAAGAGCGGTGTTGCAGAGTGCTTGGCAAACAGATGACATTTGCTGCTGCAAGAGCTGGTGAGGGGCCGTAAACCTCTGTGGCTGTAAGCAACAGGGAAGGGGGCTAGAAGAACTCGGGGGAGAGGCTTTGTAGTGACTCTGTGACTGATGAGTGGCGCCTGCGTGGTCAGAGGCAATTTATACTTCTGCCTAACAGGAACTCTGGATAAACACTGGGGCAGGCCTGTTGCCTTCACTCTTGTTGACCAAGGATGGGAATGGACGTGCTGGACTGGACGATCCTGCGTCTGACCCAGCAAAACAGCTTAAACCCCTCCTTCCCCAGCCTAATACCCTCTGCATGTGTTGGCCTAGAATTCCTACCAGGGCTGCTGCTTGGAGACACCCTGCCCCTCCGTGTCTCCAAATGCTAACGGCCATTTCTGTTTCAGCTTAACTGCGGTGCACATGGGTGTTAGTTGGGGGGCTTGGGGGGGGGTTGCCACCGAAGAGGAAAGGGTGAGCCCTCCTCCCTTGCTGCAAGCCCCCTCAAGAGTACTTTTGGATTCACACTCAAAAGTTTCTGAAACTCCATTTTGGTGGAAGCACTGCATTTTCAGCTCATGTAATCATAACAATAATGACAATGTGGGAATATTCTCATAAAAGTTTTTTAGGGCCCCTGGGGTATGGAACGGGCTTCCCCGGGAAGTGGTTGAAGCCCCACCAGTGAGGGTGTTTAAGGATAGGCTGGACATGCACATGGTGGGCATGTCGTGAGCAGAGCCGGCTGGAGCTGGGGGTCAGACTAGACGGCCCGGGAGGCCCCTTCTGACTCGCTCTGTTTCTGTTTTCACCCCACTGCAAATTCATTGTCATTACAGTGGAAGTACTGATTTAGGAAGGGCTAGGGTGGAGAATTTATTTCCTCTGAAGTGGTTTGGATAAGAAATTGACTGGTTTTGCCTTCTATTAAACTTAGATAAATCTTTAAAATTATTTCTAATGTACATGCACAGATATAAATTACTTGCACAGAGTTAGGCTGCTTCATTCAGCTCTGGTCCCAAATCTTTTACTTGCCTAGCAACTTGTAATCCTCCAGCCAGCTATGTTTGCTGGGGATTATGGGAATTGTGGTGCCAGGCATCTGGAGGGCATTAGGTTGGAGAGTCTTGCTTATGTTCATCCCTTCCCACTCACTGCACTGATAAAGCATCGTGCAAATCCAAAGGAAGGCAAATGCCAACAGGCCCACAGTCCAAGTGGCACATGCTGAAGCAAAGGCAGCCGATCCGAAGCACTGGCCATAAAGATTTCCACTCTCCACTACTCTAAACTTTGTCATAGCACCCCACACGGTGCTGTGTGTGTGGGGTACACACACGAGGAATGTGTTCTCAGGACGGAGCCATCAACTGCCTCAAAGCCAAGACCTTGCGCTGTTAGTCCCACTGCCACTGAACTCCCCAGGCCCCACGTTGTGTCTCCTTGAAGAATTTTTTCTGCTCTCCTGCCTGAGCAAGTGCCCCTCCCGTGGCTTGCGGAGCAACGGGCTTCTGTTTGCAAGCGGCAAGCCCCCATCAGGCATGGTTAATTTTGAGCTCCTTTGTCCGATCATCTGAGTGCTGGATTTGCTCTTCGGATTTCTTGTCTGGGAGCAGAATCTCCACAGTGTAATTGACTTTCTTGGAATGGATGTAGCTGTACGTGTTGTCAAACCTCAGCACATCTGGGTGCGGGGAAGGAGAGAGAGACAGCAAGACACATATCAGGACTGTCATCTGAACCCAGCTGTAGTCATTTCGTTTATGAAAGCAGCAACCAAATAGTTCACTAATATTTAAAAAAACAAATATGCAACGGACAAGTTCATACATATACACAACATTACTTCCAATTACAACAGGAGTACAAAGGTTGTTTTCCAGAGGGGCAAAATCTCAAAGTGGAAAAACTCTGAGAGACTCTTACTATGCAAGTTCCTAGGGCAAAGTGAGCTTGTCCGTATCTGGCCGTGTACGGCGAGGGCAGAGTGAAGGCTGTCTCGTCGGTCCATAAAGTTGATAAATGTGACCAAGTACGCTGGCATGTGTCAATGTCTAGATGGCCTTTCAGATACCTGACTGGCTGAGTCAGTTTCTCCAACAGAACTAGTTGCTGAAATTAAAGATTCCAGCACCTTTCCAGCTTTGGACAGACACTTGTCTAGAACCCAACTACAAAAAAAGAAATCAGATCTTTCTGTCAATATTTAACATTGAATTTATTAGTTAAATTAAGCAAAGCATAAGCTGGATCTTGACTGATTGGTTAGTTATTTTATTTCATTCTCAATCTCTGGCCAAAAGTGCTGAGTGAATGGGCATGTTCACCAATGGAACCTAAGGCTCTACACCTACTCCAACGCAACAGAGAATTACTTTCAGGAATTCTTGCAAGTTTCACTGATGTAAAATGCCATCCACAGATCACATTTATTGACCTCTCTCTATTAAGTGGTCAAACTGAGTTCTGCGGATGGGCAGACCTTTCTCTCTCTGTTTGACCAACTTTCAGGTCCCCAGATCTTGCATCGAATGCACACTACTGAAGACCAGGATGTGCCCCAAATCCCTGAATATCTGTTGCACAACAGCAACGTGCTGAAGGCCACATTACATTACTGTTGCTGCTAATTTATTTCTATATGGCACAAGAGCCAAAGCTCTCTGAACAGTTTATAAGGACATAAAAAATATAAAAAGTACAACTAACACTCAGACAGCATAAAATTGTACCACAAAATATAGAGGGCAGATTTAAAACAAAATTTCAACAAATAAAGTAGCACAAATTAAGACATAAGCCTGAAGGGATGGTCAAGCAAATGGAATCCGCCGTTTCCCGTGAAATCGTCCACAGAGTTCAGCAACATCTCTGCAGGTTAGCCTAGCTAAGCATCCTATGGGGGTCGGAGGTCCGTGGCAAAATGCGCACACTTACAGGTCCCAGCGTCTGTGCAGGTCAGAGAGCCGTCTTCAGGTACCAGGTGTGCATTGCAGCGCCGGGTGGGACACACTTCTGTCATCTCACCGGCATGCTGACGCAGCCCAGCCTTGGTCTTCAAGTAGATGCCAAAACCTATGTCAGCACCTTCCGACACGAACTGCCACCTGCGTGAAGGGAACCGGAGGAAGAGGGGAAATGGCAGGCCCTGGCCAGCTAGGCCAGCGATGTCAGCGTGGACCAGCTGCCGAGGCCCCCGGATCTGCGGCCGGAGGTGCTGGCCACGGAACCGGGACCTGGCGCAGAAGGCAGGGCTCTGCCACCGTGCTCCAGCCATGCCCTGGAGGCACGGAAAGGAGAAACGCTGACAGCACACCTCTCCTTGCACAGGCGCACGCGGTTCTGAAGCAGTGAGTACAGAACAAGTCTCCCGCGACCATCCTTGCCGACATTTCTGTGCTTGCATCTCGCTCAAACAAGCCGGAGGAAAACCAGTGAATCTGGGGGCAGGTGCAGAGGGGGAATCACGGAACAGCAGAGTTGGAAGGGGCCGTGGAGGCCATTGGGTCCAACTGCCTGCTGTTGCAGGACACCGAGTCCCACCATCCCCACTCGGATGGCTGTCCAGTCTCTAAAAAGGATGAGTGTGGATCCATTCCGTTATCTCTTGCTATGGGCAAGCACAGCCATGGAGCGACCCCAAGTTTAAACTCCTGGTCCCCGGATGTGAAGGGAGGGCGCATGGTGAAGTGCTTGGAGCCCCAAGACTCCAGGAAAGCTGAGTTCAAATCCCCGCTCTTTCACACAGCTCACTGGGTAGCCTTGGCTTTCTCTCAGCCTGATCTAACTCGCAGGTTTGTTGTGGAGACGTGGAGGTGCCGATGGGGAGAGAGATACACCCAGACCCTGCCAAGCCACTTGAAAAATGGGATTGAAATGCCATTGGTGAGAAGCTGCACTCTGCCCAGCTTTCTTCCACTCACCCTTGCTGTGCCGCCCACTCTGGCTCACCTGAGGACGCAGCCCGGAGAGAGAATCTCATATTCCAACTGCTGGGAGGACCCTCGGTTCACGGCCACCGAATGCTCGTACTGCTGCTTCACCTGGTCACACACGAAGTACTTCCTGGGGACGTCCCCTCCGTAACAGAGCTACAGGCAAGATCACATCAGTCCCAGAACTTGGCCCATCCAACCATTCTTATCTGCACCTCCCTCCGTGCTCGCAACATGCTTTGTGAACACAGTTCAGATGCTGGGCTGGGTTCAGATGCTTCTCCCACATCCAAATCTGGCTATCAAAACTCAGGTAGAAACACAGAAACAGAGCGAGTCAGAAGGGGCCTCCTGGGCCATCCAGTCTGACCTCCGGCACCAGCCGGCTCCACTCACGACATGCCCATCATGTGCACGTCCAGCCTATCCTTGAGCACCCACACCGACGGGGCCTCAACGACCTCCTATGGAAGCCCATTCCACACCCTCGGGGTCCTGAGTGTCAGGAAATGCAACGAAGTTCTCCAGAAGACGCCAGCACAGTTGGCCTGGGTCCTGAGAGCAACATCTCTATCCACTGGCCAGCCTGGAAGGAAGGAGGGCTGCTTTCCAAGGAGCTGGATATCACTGGGCGGCAGCAGGAGCAGACAAGGAAGACAGGGCTGCTGCCAGCGCTCCCGAGACGCTGGCCACACTCCACCCGCAACTCGACCTATGCACTGTGATCGCAGCTTTCGCTCCCCATCTGGACCTCCAACCCTCTCTGCCTCCTGCAGCTCTGACAACCTGACTTCCTAGTTTCTGGGAACTGACCCTGCAAGCATTCCAGTCCAGAGCAAACGGAATGAACGTACCATGCTCTGACACTTGGGGTCCCCATCTGGATCAGTGCGAGTCCCCCCATAATGCACAGGAATCTCGCTGGGGTCAATATGATTGTGTAAAATCTCCTTCCAGTTAGCTAGAAGAAAGGGAAACATGGATTATCATTCTGCAACAGAACTCTCTCCTGAGCTCCCTTGTTGAACAGCCAACAACGCATTCCTGTGACTTGGGAAAATCTTAGAAGACTCATGATGTTTACCATGACAATATGACACTTATAAAAGATATTCTTTCCAAAATTGGAACTCACCCTCCATTTCAAAGGATGCACAAAGCTTCCAACACGTGTGTGTGGGGGGGGGAGGGGCAGCTTCTGTGCCCTGTTTAATTGCTGTGTAATTAGCAGATGCAGAGGACAAAGACAGGGAAATATGTCCATGTTTCCTTCATTCGTGTAAATTATGCAAGATACATTTCTTTAAAAGTTTCTTTTCAGGATACCATCCAAAAAGATCTGTTATAACAATGGTGATTCTTATCACAAGGGGTGCCATTTCTATTTTCTGCTCCGGCCACCCAATTATCTTAGGTTGTCTCTCTTGAAGACAAAGGATGGAACCAACATAGGTCAGTGGATGGGCTGAATCTGCCACTAACAGGCCTCAGGTTAGCAGCCTAGTCTAGGCTGGGGTTCCAAGAGGCCACACAGCAGCTGAAGCACAGACCAGAAACGGCAACCCCAGCCAGGCTCCGATTACTCCCTTGCCCAGGCACTGCGATCTGCCCCGTGCTCTGCCGGCTTCCCTGGGTGGCGCTCCCCCTTTTGCTCTTCGGCAAAGCGGTTGAACGGGTCAGCGGCCTTGGGGCTGCTTTCAAGGGGACCGTGCTGTGCTGCTGATGCAGGGTGGCCTCCAGAGGCAAACATTCCCCTCACCAGCCAGGTGAGCCCAAGGCAGCAGGACTTTCCAGGAGCACGCAGTGCAGAGTGCTGGCCACGCTTCCCCCGCCCAGAGCAATGGCCCAAGGAGATTTGCACTGCTGAGCAGGGCGTTACACGCTAGTGCGATGGTGGCTTCTCACACCCAGAATGCTGGGCTTACTGTCTTACTTTTCTCACCCCCAGAGGTTTCAGTCTGCCCAGGTATTGCTGGCAGATCTCCTTTCTCTTAGCCAGAACATTTGTATAACTAGCATGCAGGGACTTTTCTACAACTCCGATTACCCCCTGCTATCGTTGCACTGGCAGAACCCGCTCGGCTTCGCTAATCCTATAGAGAGGGAAGTGATGTCAACGGTGACCAATTACGTCTCACTTGCAGATACTTTCTTGGTCTCCTAAATGGGCAATTCATATTTCAGCAACAGCAGCTTGGCAAAACTCCCAGGGCTCCGTCACCAACTCGCATTCTTTAAGTTACCTAACTATTTCTCTCCCATAAAGTGCTTTCCGTGCTAGGTACTAACAGAGAATGTCAGCGTCCCTTTCTCTAACAAAATAGAACATGGGGGTGGGGGGATGAAGCTTTGTATTTGTGGAACTTTGCACAGATTGGTTAGAACTGTTTATTTACAGAAGGGGCTGGTTTCCAGTCAGGGAATACCCACCCAAGGCAGCCTTCCAAACTTAAAAGGGGGAAAATACAATAATAGGCATGCAGAGCAACTGAGTAAGAACACTGCTTTTTGCACATTTCTGCATGTATTACAGAAAAGGTTTGGGGACTGGGCCTACTTCTCTCAAAATGCAGCATTCCAAGCTAGAAATGCAAACTCTGAAGGGGAGTGAGACAAAGAGGAGGGGTGGAAATGTGTTGCTGAACTGCCAAGACCGAGAAGCTGCGAGGTCAGCGGAACAGCTGGTGGGGACCAGACCACCTCTGGTTGGGGGCGGGGGGGAGACACTGCAGAACACGAGGGTCAGAGGAGAGGTGTGAATGCCATCGACCCAATGGTTTGTCGTCATGTCATGTAAGCAAGTGAAATCATCCAGGCAGGGGACTGATTTATGAAGTGCCCAAGGCATTTCACCAAGCTAGATGTGCTGGATGGAACCACCGCTCCCATCATTCCCTGATGGCAGCCCAACACATCTGGGGGGGCACCAGCTGGCCTGAACTCTAAGGGGGTTTGCCAGTGCTTTGTGTGCCACGACTTAGCAGAAATGCCGCACGGCTTGCTGGGGATGCTGGAACGGTAGCTGAGCTCATCTGGAGGGAACCAACCTGGGGGAGGATATGTCCTGCCCGAACCTACATCTTATCCCGATTCCACAAGTACGCAAGGGGGCAGCACCTGTGAGTGGCATGTCTGGAGAATCCTTCTGTAACGGGCCTTGCTCGCCAGCTTCTTTTGGTGCGGCCGCCCTTTATTTCTGGCTGCAGCAGGACAGGATTGGTAGCGGAAGCAGGTGCCACTCACCTCCCAGAACCACCATCTTCTTGCGAGTGTCCTCACTCAGCAGATGTTTCACCAGATTGAAAGCCACGGGGAAGAGCCTGGGAGCTGCAGCCGAGGAAAAAGAGTAGTGGCTTGGCGGCAGAAGAGGGACATTCATGTGTTCTAAGCCCACATGCCTGAAAAGGGCTTATTACTCACCTTTAATAATAAAGATGCGTTTGAGGGACTCGGGGTAGTTGTCTTCAAGCAGGGAAATAAGCTGGAAGTGTAGAGAAGCAATGTCAGGAGGGAATCCTTGCAGGAAAGCCTCAGCCATCCAGCTCGTGGCTACTCCACTGAGCAGCAGCGGGCTGTTTAGGAACACAACACTCCCTGCTCACCCTCACACTGCAGAATTACAAAACAGAATTGCCAGGACTGGGTTCAGTACTTCAAAGGCTGGTGTTGGACTGAGCGCTGGCCAAGTCCGGCAAATCTCCCAGCCTCTGACCTTGGAATTAGCCATGGCAAGGATACGCACAACCCTGTGTTAGCACTGGGTGAAGGGGCATAAACCTCGACAAACAACCTCCATGGGCTAGAATTGGTCCATAAGGCTTCCCTATCTTGACCACCAGCTTCATCCCTGGGGTCTGCTCCCTTTCTCAGCAAAGAAAAGCTCTTATCTCTGATCAGCTACTGATCAGAGATAAGAGCTTCTCCCTGCAAGGGAGGGGGGGCTGGGGCTGTGGTTGAGGGATTGGCTCCTGCTTCCTTGTGGGCAGAGAGGCTGCTCATCCTTACTTCTCAAGCCTGTTTGCATCTGAGTAGGATTAAAATCAGTAATAATGTTTGGCCGCACCCACCGATGGAATCCCACCCCCCATCTGGTTAAAATTCAGCCCTGGGGTGGAAAAAGGCCCCCCATCCCAAGTGTAGCTCACGGCGTGGCAGCAACAAATGCCGAGGCTGTGCGGGAGGCTCTTGCAGAGGTCCAGTTCACTTTGCTTTGCTTTTTTACCTTTTAAACCCAAACAACTCACTAAGAAGCTCCCTTATTCAAACTGTGGGTCCTTCCAGCTCAGGGGACCGACTCCCCGACTGTTCAGGATTTCAGGCAACAGTCTTTCCCAGCCCTGCATGATTGAACCTGGGAGTCTGCATACAAAGCACATGTTCTGCCAATGAACTCTTCTGCATATAGAAAGACCGTCAGGAAAATCAATTGCAAGATCAGAGGTTTAAGAACAGAATTATCCATTCCGATATATTATGTGGCCTTGTCCTCCTGAGTCCACATAAATTTGCAGAATGCAAACAAAGCGCCTGGTTGTTGACTGTTTGCCCATGTTTAGCACATGCACAGAACACGGGGCCCTGCTTCAGCTGCAGAGATTCTCTTCAGCCTCAGGACAGGATCCCTGGAGCCAAATCCCGGAGGACACCTTCCAGTGGAAGGAGATGGCAAAAGGATGTGCCCAGGATACAGAAAAACGCCAGCATTTCTTTCTCAGGGTCCTGCCGCCAGCAACAAGGCTTAGGAGAGCCTCGCCAGCCTTTTAGAGAATGCGCTTTGCATGCAGAAAACCAACCAGATCATTGATGGTTTAGGGGTAGGGGATGGGGCCTTGTGCGGACCCCAGAGGGCCAGGCTGGGATGGCCGGATTTGTTACTCACACCTGGGCAGCACACCTGCTCTACCTACATTTTAAGAGGGACAGTAGTTTCAGGAGCTTTGCATCCCTTCGAGCCTTGCCTAGCACCTGCCGATTTTAAATAATACTTCTGCAAGAGAAGCATTGCTTGACACAGTCCTCAGGATTAAAGTGGCAAACCAAGTGATGCAAGTGCAAGGTGCAAAGCCCACCAAGCCTGCAGACCAACCAGACCGAGGACAAAGCTCTTGCTATGGGGCGCAGAGGCCTTCCTGTGACCCTCACCTCTCCATACATGTCTATGCCTGGCTTCCAGAGATGCTTCAGGCCAAGCCCTTCTGCATCACAGATTATGGTGACCGTTTCGATCTTCCTTCCAAGCTAAAGAAATGAAACCAGTACAAAGATGAGGGAGATTAATAACATGTTTTAAACAAAAAATCTGCAATCGTCACCTACATCAGTTTTCCCCAACCTGCTGCCTTCCAAGTGAGTTGGACTGTAACTCCCGTATTCACCCAGCCTGCTAGGTGGGCTGGGAATCACTGCAGCTGAAGCGCAGCCCACCTGGAAGGCAGCAGGAGGAGGCAGAGGGACACGAACACTTAAAGGTAGCAACTGCTTTCTGCTGGAGCGCAGACGGTAGCTGACATTCAGAAAAGAACTGATGCAAAGGCACGGCAAAAGAATTGCAGGCACAAGTACTGTCCATGGAGGGCTTTCAGACAGGGGCGCTGCAAGGAACACAACCCTGCTCAAGTTTTTGCAAAAGCGGCAGGCCCCTCGGCCTGACGCCACCCCTTCCTCCAGCCCACAAGCCCCCAGGGCAAGTGACGGGAGGCGGCAGGGGCAAAATGCGCCCACACGCTGGATAAGCTGGTCCGAGTGTCCGTGTTGCTGCCTCCCTCTTCTCCCACCCTGGGGAGGGCTCGGGCTGATTTGTTTCAATTTTGGGCTCAGGACATGGTCCAGCCCATGTGCAAAGGGCGCCCAACCTTCACACGTGCCACGGACTCCATGTGTGTGGGGACCCCTGCTCCAACTTACTAGCAACACATATAGGAAGTCAACACTTTAACAAAATCAAATGTTCACAAGAGCTATCCTGCTCAAGAACGCAGTAGATGCTGTTGGTAGAAAGGGGGAGAGGTGGGGGGGACACAGGGCTGGTTTGAAATAATATATATTTCTACATATCTTTACCTCTACACCTAAAAAGAACCGAGTGGAAGAACTTCCTGCTGGCTCAGAACAAAGATCCCTCCAGTGCAGCCAGAACACGGGGGGCAGCACATGTCTCCGTAGGATCCCCTCACCGGATGCTTGGAGTTTACCAGCCTCATGCCTGTGGGGTCCATTCAACGTATCTGAGGGATCGTTCTTCCGTGAGTCTGCTACTTTTCTTGCCAAACAATTCCAAGCCTACCCTACTTTTTCACTCATGAAGGCCTCAGGATGCTGGCTTAAGACACACACACACACACACACACACACACACACACACACACACACGAGTCCATATGCCACATGCATCCCGGACACAGGCTGCTCCATCACCTCTGGAAGTGATCCATAACAGGGCCTCCACCGGGGGGAAGGGGCAAATTCACTGGTGGGAGGAGGGGGAGGGCATCTCGGAGGTGCCACCGTGCTCTAAGTCTTTGCCTCAGCTTACGATAGTGAGAGCGAGCAGCCGAGATGCGTGCCTTGCACACCGAGATGCTCAGATAGCATTCTCTTGAGATGGAAGAAGAACACGCAAGCTTCTCACAGCAGTGCTTCCACAGAGAGGTGCTTGAGGACAGCCTTCTTCGTGAAATGGGGCAACCTATCTGGAGGCATTTCTTCTGCTCCACTGATCTGTTGCTCGTGAGTACGATACCCTGGCCCGGGGAGCTTCCCACCATGACCAGGGCCGCCACTACTGTCCCATCAGAGTTTTTAAAAAACAAATACAAAGGAGATAAAGCGGAAGCGGGAGCAGGGGAAGAACAGAGAAATAAAAGCACACACGTGCCAGATGTAATTGCGTGGGTCCCTCCAGATCCTACGGTCCCAGCGTTATCATTCAGAAGACACTGGGCTGCTATTTTGTCTTTTCCTCGAAGAGGATGTTTGTGTGGTAAGAGACAGGATGGAACAAACAGGCGGGCAGCGAGCTCAAGATGTTGTGGCTGCTCACGCCCCTGCAGCAGTTTGTGAATGAAGCAAGGCCCTTGCATGGTAAAAGCCTTGTCAGGAAACATCCTACTTGCAGGCTGGGCTCATGATTGTGTTTGCAAAGGCCACTGAGATATAAACGGGGCACAACACACTGCTGGCAAACAGTTGCAAGCTCTCCAGCTTAGGTCCAGCCACCTTACTTTCTGAGTCTGTTCGCTGCACGTTCCTCGTGTTCTCTCACAGTCCTGGAACTTTCTTTTAATAAAATCTTGCTTCGTAGCTGAGAAGAGGAGTCCTTTGGCATCCAGATGTCCTATCATTTCATACCAGATGGGGGAGCCATCCAGGTCAAAACCACAGGTTCCCCCAGCCATGTACTTTTGGATAACCTGTGGGGAACACAGACACACGCAGGTGAAGGTACAGGCGACAAATGGCCCCTTTTGCAGGAATGTGGAGAAATGCAGAGTGGGATCAGGCAGACAGAGGATGCCAAGCAACAGGAGACTCACCTCCGGAGCCTGCCATTCCTGAACATGCTCGGCATCCATGAGTTTCCGGAACTGGACATGCTAGTAAGTCAGGAAGGAAGAACACAAGTGTGAGAAAGGGCAACAGGTCAGTTCTTAGAATGGAGTGGAATACTTTTCAATTCTGTACTGTAAAGTAGTATTAAAGATGCCTTTCCACCTGGAAATTTAGTCCAACTGATCTAGAAGGCAGCAAATTGAAGAAGATCGGTCAAGACAAATCGGATAGGCCATGGCTATCCATTATTTTGGAAGGCCAGTTGGCACATTTGGAATTTTGAGATAGTGCTGTGGACAAAGCGGCTGTCCTTGGTGGGTTTCCTCAGTCATGGAATGGTTGCCACTGTGGGCATGGTCAGTCACAGAACCCTCATTTCCCAGAAGACAAGCACTACAAGTAAAGGGAAAGTGACTTTCCCAAAACCTAAGCCAAACGGTCAGAGCCCTAAAACTCAACGCCAGCCTTCCGATCCCAAAGACAGTTGGAGCTGCAGGACAGCACTTGGCTTTGCAGCTTGCCAGACTCCTGGTCAATTTTTCTTGAGGGGTGAGAAGCTCAGGGAGGTTCTGTGCTCAAAGGTATGCAGAGCACCATTATGGGAACCCAGGGCTGAAGGGTCATGTTGGAAGGAGGGCGCATGGCACCAAGACAGGAGGACACCAGGGATCCCTGGCTGCCAAAACCGTCTCACTACCTCACTCGAGCCTGTGGGAGTTCTAAATTGTTTAGAGAAGTGAACTAGAGAAGCGTGCATAGAAGATTGATGCAGAAATAATTGCTAATGTTTGCCAAACAGTTGCCAAAATGTCAGTAGCTGCATATTGGAAAACAATTGTCCTTTGGGTTTTTGTGTTCTTTTCTTTGCAGGCAGAGTGGCATTTGGAACAGGCCGTGATGATGACCTTGCACACTCCATACAAGCCAAGCACGATCTTATGCATAAGTCTTGATTTGTAGAAAGCTGACTGGCTTTTCTTATGTTTCATAGGCTGTTTTCTGACACTGTTAATCTTTACTTAGTTTTTATAAGGATCTGATAAAATCCTTCACGATCCAATGAATTATATTGGGAACTCTGTGAAAATGTATACTTTATATGATTTTCCCTTTATTTTTATATGAAGAATGGGCAAGAGAAAGAAGAAATGAATCTCTTACCTTCCGGATCATGGCCTCGGATTTCTGCAGGTCGAAACACCTGGCTGCAACAAGATCACAGAGGTTAGAGTTGAATCCTCACTTCCTGAAAGGGAAACACCACCTGGATGCAGCGGTTGCTGGCAAGCACAACCTTTGCACTTATTACATGCACCTGCAGCCCTTCTGTCAGTTAAGCAAGGGAGCTAGATCCTGAACCCCTTTATGTGGAAGGGGACTGGGTCACCCAAGCCGAACAGGGTCTCTAGGAGGACCTGATTTGCTCCCAGGGCAGAGTTCCCCCACCCCTAGTGTAGCACAGACGCTTTCATTCCAGAGTAACTGCAAAGCAGAGTAACTGCAAAGCCACAAGTGCCTATGGATACTGAATCACGTATTCGAAGCACAAAAGTAAGTATGGATGGAATGGGAGACACGTTGCTCAGTCTTCAGCTTTGAAAAGTGAAGTTCTGCACTTTCAGCGTTACACAGAAGGCTTGGATACCGATGCACAGTGTGTGTCTGCAGCTCAGGAGGTGGGGGCAGGTGCTCAGAATTCCACGGCCTGCTCTGTCTCACCATCTACGGCATTTTTATACTGTTGCAGCGCCTTGTCACCGAAGCAGCCAGTTCAACCTGCTTACCCTCTAGATCACCGGCATTTACAGGTTGCCACAACTGCGACCATCTCTGTCTGTGGGAGGGCAAAGAGGCAGGGCAAGGCTGACTGGACTGAAATCATCTGGAGGTTATTACAGCCTTATCTCCCTCCACGCCCTGTGATCATCTTCTGATCACTTAGAAAGTCCCCTCCCTTGTCTCTTATCTTTCCAGCACAGATTCCAGGGCAGCTCTGGTCCCAGTGAGTCTGCAGAACCTGCAGGAGAAACGCCGCTCGAGCCTGTCGCCCTTGCAACCTGGCCTGCAAGCCCGGAACCAACAGGATCGGGGGGTGGGTGGAACGGGTGTGCATGGGGGGGGGGTCTGTGCACAGGAGCCCAGTGGTGCAAACCCCTTGGGAACGCCTTCTCCAAAGCTTGTGGATTTCCACACCTGGGAAACATCTTCCCCTCAGTCCAAGTCTCAGGAAACCCCACTTGTGCGGAGGGGTCTGCGGGGAGGGGGCAAGCAAAACACACAGGTAAAGCTCCGGCGCCAGACTGCAAATGGTCTCCATTCAAGAACACGCCCTGTTTTGCAAGTGCTTTACAAGGAGCTGAGCTAGTAGCAAGGAAAGACAAATAATCTGCAGAACACCATATGCAGCATCCCAGAATCAGGCTGGACATCAGGAAAGCTTCCCCACAGTCAGAGCGGTATGACGGTGGAACCAGCTGCCTGGAGAGCTGCCTCTCCCACACTGGAGACATTCAAAAAGAAACTGGGCAGCCACCTGAGCAGGGTGGTGTAACTGGTGTCCTGCACTAGCAGGGGGTTGGAATCGATGGCCTTCATGGCCCCTTCCAACTCTTCTATTCCATGATTCTATATATGGAGAGGTGTTTCATGTTACTCTGTGTTTACACATTTCACCAAGTGCTTCCCGTACATGTTCTCTCTGTGCCAGCTTGGTGAATTGTTTGGAATCTTGTGCGAGGGCTGGAGAGAGCCAGGCTCAAATCTGGAGAGAGCAAATTTTTGCTCAGCTATGAAATTCTCACTGGTTGATCGTCAGCCACTTGTCTCTCTTCACCTCAGCGACTTCACACAGTCCTGATGAAGGTAAATAAAGGAGAGGGAAAACCAGCACCACAAGGCTTGCCCCAAGTTCCTTGAAGGAAAGGTGCAGTAGAAGTGAAATAAATGTAAATTTAAATAAGCCAGGGACCTACTTAGCCAGTAGGCAGGCCTGGGCCTTTGAGATAAGGCCACATCTTGCCAGCCTCTGCCCTGTTGAACGTTCCCATCACTGTTCCCCCCAAACTACCCACTGGGTGTCAGAATAAGCCACGTCTCCGGCTGGCCCTGCCATCCTCTCCCCATCGTGAGAGGTGCTCACCATGACCATTGTTCACAGCCCCATCTCCTCCCCCAAGAGAGACCAAAAATGGGCACTGCTCTCTGATCTAGGCGAACAACCAGTTCTAGCAGTTTCATATCTACTGCAAGCACCTTTGTGTTTTAAAGTGAATGGCTCTTATCACTCATTGAGATCAAGCCACCCACAAATACTTTGGATTACAACAGGGCATTGCAGGGAAAACTAATTTTCCTTCCCCCAACCTCATTCCCAACCATGATGAGGTTTGAAGTCAAGCTCAGAGGCCACAGAGAATTCCAATAAGGCGGCTGATGACAGCAGAATCCTTCCCAATTAAAAAATGCCAGCTACCTCCCATGTGGCTGCAAGGAGGAACGGAGTAATCATAGCTTGCCATGTTGCTTGAGCCGAGAAAACCACAGTGGTTCTGCTTAACTAAGGTTAGTTCGAACAAGCCAACATCATGAACTATGGCTTGGAATGTACTTGTTTGAAATGACCTAAGTTTGGACAACATGGCAGGCTGTGGTTGAGGAAAAACCAAAGCAGAGGTTTCCAAATTCTTTGTGGCTATGCCAGAAGGAGAGGGGCAAAATGAGATGACACACCCAAGGATCGCTGTGGCTCGCTCTGACTGCATTTGGCCCTTTTCAAAAATAAAAACACTGCTTTCCTTGAATGTGCCATTCAGTTTGAAATATACACATGCTATCGATAGATACCAGTTGTAAGAGTTAGATTTGCTTTTCTTGCTGCACATTTGGGTTCCCTGACATCTGAGGATTTTTGGTATGCATTTGACCCCAGTCTTGAACTAGTGCACAGTTAGCCTTTGGATGCCACACATTTCTGAATTTTGTGTATCCCAAATACACAATCCCAAGAAAATTGTGTAGTTTGGATAAAATACAATTAGAAATGTGTACAATAGAGGACATATATTAACAAATGCTTATTTTTAAAGAAAGTGTCCAATGTACATATTTAAATGTATCCATATGGTTTAAATCACTGCTCAGTGACGAAATAGAGTAAATTATGAATGAACGTGTCCAGTGACACGGACCAGAAGCAGGCTAATCCATCCCAAAGCCTTCAACCGTTTTTTAAAATGCGCTCCTGTGACACAGCGCTGGGTATTTCTACCCCTCTTTTATATCAGCACAATTTCGCTGAATTAAATCAAACACTTACTATAACCTTTGCCCAGCCTTGGAGGTTTGCAACAGAACTGCATCTGTATAAACCGTTATCTTGCCTGGTGCAAGAGTCACAGGCCGGCCGGCCGTAGTTTGTAAACTTTAACAGACAAAGAGAGAAAGTGCAATGAACAGATAAAAAAGCGCTCAGTGCAGCCCAGCTAGAGAAGAAAAGGCTTTCCCCACTTGTCCTGCTCCTCCTCCTCCATCAGCCTCTAGTATGGACTGGCCAGTATGAGCCTGAGGCAGCCGGGATACAACGGAGAACCTTGTGTTCGAGAGAGGGGCTTTTAAAGCGCTCCATGCAGAAGAGCGTGATGGAGAAGACCCACAAAATCTGGCAAGTCATCTGGAATATCAGATTCCATTTGAAAAACAAAACTGAAAACACATCCCTCCCCAGTGTGGAAGTGCCTGGCTGTGTCCCCCACAAGCCAGAGGAATTTCTGAATAAAATTCCCCGGGGTTGCAGGACAGGCGCAGAAGAAAGCTCCTCGCAGCCGGACTGGCACGGCGCTTGTGGAGCCATTTAACTGTTCCTCTGCCAGTTGTTTTTTTGACTTAGCCCTCCCAAATCACTTCGCATGTACCCATGTCCCAGAGCAGGTCGGACAAAATGCACATCTGAGCCAAAGGGAGTGCAGCTGTCATTAATTTGCATGTTATAAGTATTAAAATCTACAGAACCTTGTAATACTTTGCCTAACGTAGAGTCTATGCTAAAGAAGGGAAAGAAAGTCACCAGGTTGGAAGATTTGGCCCCAGTTTTGACAATGAAAGGAAGGACTACTTCCAGTAGCAAGAAGCTATATAGAAAAATGGACTGGTGTGTGGGTATCATTGGCACATTGATAGGTTTTCTTGAGGTTTTTTTTTTTTTTTCTTTTACTACAAGTAAATTATCTTGAGTTTCTTTTTGTTTTTAAGTACCAGTGAGTACAACTGCTTTGCTGTGCTCACCTGTGCAGGATGGTTTGGTTGGTTTATGCACTTGGTCGTTACAGAAAAGGAGTGTGGAGCAAGAAGCCAGGACATTTACGAGGGGGGGCTTCCTGCTCTGCATCACTGCATCCTAACGGCATGCAAATCTGCACCCACTGAATTTCTGGCGTGCAATAAGAAGCCCCCTGAAACAGAGCCAGACAAATTGAGAAATTCAAGCATACCTGGAATCAACCTCTGTTTGACTGGCACCCCAGGCCCTCTTCTGCTCAGCAGAAGAATGCCAGGCTCTACGTTCTGCCCTGGTCCAAAGAAATGCCTTTGGGACACTTTCAAAGTGGGCTAGTACAACACATTTGCTCCAGGCCCAGTTTCCTGAGCCCTTCTCCAGATTAACATACTTGATACCATACCAGTTGAACACACTGGCAAAGCTGACAAGGGAAGGTGGGAGTCCTCACCAGTCATGGTGACATGAGCCCCTTCTGCATTGCCCAGAAGGCCACCAAGGCGCCCCCGCCCCCACTTTTACCTCGGAGCCATTTCAAGAGGAAGTAGTCGTCTTGATCAGGCAGTCCCGGAAGGATGTCTTGGATGTTTTCACGGAACTAAGAAAAAAATGAAATAAGTAAGGGGGTGATTAGGATCCCTTTACTGGCTCTGGGAGTATGTCTGAATGAACACAGCAGGACTTACTTCAAAGTCAACACAGACAGTATTGTGCTGTTGGAGTTAGTTCACATGGGTCTGAACATTTCCTTTCCCTTCTCTGTGCAATAAGTAGCAGTTTGTAGATTGTAAAACATGATGCCTGACCCTGGACCAGTGGCTAACCCCCAAGCAAACCACGGGTTAACTGTTGGGTTACCCCCCAAACAGCACAGTGGTCGGGTTTGGAAGACACAGTTCACAACCTCCGAATGAGCCACTCTTGGGTTGTGGAGCAGGAGCAGAAATGGCTTTCTCCAGCCTAACAAACCATGGTTTATTTAACCAATAGCCGGTTGTTCTACGAGAATTAGGTCATCGTGCAGCAAACAAGCTACCCTATAATGACTTCAATCTGAATGTAAAGCCACAGGATCCATGTGCATGGAATTTCATGCAAAGGCAAGGGAAAACCCCCCAGATTCACCAAATACAGTTAATCCGATGATCTGATTAAGCCCAATTCCTTCTACGTAAAATACCATCATTGTATTTTTTCCTGTAATGTAAAAGAGGCTATTTTGATTTTAGCAGCCTCTTTAATAAGATGGATCTTTCTGGTGCTACTGTTACTATATAATTTCATGTTTGTTTAACCACAACAGGATTGTAATCTCTGAATTAGAACACTAATGTCTTTTGCCCATAATTTCATTCAAATGCTACACATTTCTTTCAGTGCTAGCTAAATGAAAATCATTAATAATCATATTTATTTCAAGTTATGAATACCTCTGCTTTTGCAGGAAGGAATCAATTGCAAATCTTAACTCTGGTTAGATTTTTGGACTAGGCCAGCCCAAGTTCAACTCCTCACTCAGCCATGTAGCTCTGGGTGACCCGGGTTTCTCTCTCCCATCTCACTTACCTTATAGGGTTGTTGTGAGGAAAAATGGGGTGGGGGCAAGCTTTAAGCTCCTTGGAGGAAACATCGGATAAAGCCATAATATATAAGCAAGCAATTATGAACTAGATCAAATGTTGGGATGAGCACAAGCCAATTTACAGAAGATTACACACCTAAGTGCTGAGCTCTCAAGGCATACAGATCATTCAAGGTCCGTCCTTCCCTAATGAAAGCACTTAAATTCCCAGTCTCAAGTGAGGGACAATTAGCCCTAGCATTAGACAGCTGGGCTGCTGAGCGCATCCCTCAAGGAGGAGTCACAGGCAGGCAGAAGGAATCAAGGCCTTGCACCCAAGCTGGGAGCATTTTGCAGAGATTACACTGTGCATTCGTCCAAGGTGAAATGAGGCACCTACGTAATCTGCAGAGTATTCAGGCTTAGACTCCTCTTCCCCTCTAATCCGCCGAGCAATGTGGAAAAGCCAATAACATGCCCTAGATTCTTTCTAGACAGAAAGGCTTTCCATCTAACCAGCGAATAACAAAATTCACAGGGATTAAATTGGAACGGAAATTTCAAAAATAAAGAAAACCTGAATGGGGTTATCTTCAAGAGCTGAGATTCCTAAAACAGGTATCAGCAACCATGGC